GTGCAATATACATGCTTTGATTTCAATATTTCATCTACATATAGCAATTTGAGTTTGATTCATACATATGTCATACTTAATTATTTAAATAGATTTTTAGAATATGTTATTTATGTGGATTCAGATATAAGTAGTGACTTGTATAGAAATCATATTTTACTACTTGTTAAATAACGAATGTAAAGTTCTTATAGTATTTTTCTTTGTTAGTTTTTAAATCAGAAAGTGTATTAATCATTGTATATGTAAAAATATGTTTGGTTTAGAAACTCATGTAAACCTATTGCAACTTTAAATAGTTATTTATTGTTGATACTAATAGTTTAGAAATCAGGAACTTTTTGAAACTAATTTCAAATTAATTTTGTTTTAATTTTTTTTGTTGATAATTTACATCTTTTGATAGTAATTTTTTATTTATTCTAATTTAAATACTTTTTGTATGTTTGATATACTTATGACTTATATTATTTTTATTAAGCTCTTTTGTTGTTGATTTTCCAAATAGGTATCATAGACATCACATTAATTTCTTTTATACAAATACTTTTTCTTTGTTAAATTTGATTTTTATATCAATTTTAAATTTTAGTTATAATGCCGATTTGATATGCTCTATCGATTGAATTTAAATATTAGATGGACTTTTCTAAAAAGCTTATAACATCATTTGTTTATTTTTGTTAAGTTTTTATATTGATTTTCAAAATCTTTAGTTTTCTTTTATACAACTTTTTCTTTTGTTAATTTGCCTCTTTTAATAATGATTCCTATCTTATTTTGAAACATAAATTTATAACATGTTGAAATCTAAAAAATCTTTTAATAAAAACATGTTTAATTTCTCATCATATCATAATAGCTTTAAAATAGTTTGGTTTCATATCTAAAAACACAATAGAAAATTAAAGTATGGTGAGCTATATGCATGTGAGCGTACTTATCATGTCAAATAGTCAGTATAGTCAGTAGTTGCTTCAATATTTTTGTCGAAAAAAATTGGCTGAAAAAGTGAAGTTCAAAAATAATACTTCTACATGATTCAATTTAAAGTATAGTGTTGAGAGTTAAATAAATCTTATTATCTAATTTAAATCAATTTTTTCCGTCCTAATCATACTTAACATTTTTTTATTTAATGAATATGCTGATATGGCTAATCAGATCGAGTTTTTTAGTCACATGTGGATGCCCTCAATGCCCTAACACTCTAATAATCAGATTGATAATTTAAGATGAATGTTTTCTTGGTAGTATTGATATTTTTAAATAACAGTTTTATATTTTTATATGAAAATTTAATCTTAATATTTTTTTTCTAAATAAACTACTCATTTAAAATATATATGCTAATTTTTTTTTAATTTAACTTTTTTGTTATTGATTTACATATTTGTTTTTGTTAGTTTAGTTTTTGTGACAATGAGTTTCTATTTTATTTTCACAATAGATTTAGACTTTTAACATAATTTTATTTTATTTAGTTAAAAAAGTTATCTTAATTTTTCATTCTATTGTGATATTTTTGTATGTTTTAATTTTTTAAATTATTAATAATATTTTTTATTTTTTTATGTTTAATGAAAAACGCTGATATAGACTAATCAAATTGAGTATATATGTCCTATGTGGACGCTCTCATTGGTCTAAGACATCAACACAGACCACAACTAATATATTTTAAGTTAGCAGTTCAGATTTTAATTGTTTTTTATGATTAAAATTTTAAAATAATTTAATTATGATTTTAAATACAGTTTTTAATAATTTTGTTCAATATATATGATTTTTCTTTCATAATCTATTTATATGTTAATTTACCTTTTTATTGTTAATAGAAAAATAAGATCTATTTTCAAAAATCTTTTTTTTATTAATAACTAACTTAAAATTTAGAAACTTTCCTAATAACAACAGAAACAAAATTAATTAAAATTTATAAATTTTCCTTATAACAATTAAAACGAATTAATTAATTTTAATATACAATGTATAATTAACTAAAACTAATGATGATGTGTACTAATATAATTGAATCTTTAAATCCTATGTGGATATCCTTAGAGGCATTTATCATCAACTTTTATTATTACTAATAGAAATCGAAGAAATACAAATTAAAATTCGTCTCATGAGAGGCTAATTTATTTTTGGTTAGAGTGAATAGAAACTTAACATTAAGCAAAAAGTAAGACGACAAAAAAAAGAAGCAAAAAGTAAAAAAAAAAACACAAAACATAAAGCAGAAGGAAATAACACCAAATAGGTAAAACGATAGCGTTTCAAGTAGCCGAGTCATCATGTAGAGCAATCTCCCGTATATTAGTCGAATTCTGGAGAGACTAAACCCATTGCTCAAGAAAAGTGTAGAAACAAAAAAATTGTAGAGAGAACATTCGAGCTTCGCTTTCAGGAAATCTGAGATCTATCTGTAGAAGAAGAAGAAGAACAACGATTCAGCGAGGATGAGTGACGTCGTCGACGATGCCGCTAGACGCCGTACCGCAGCGGTCGCCGAGTACCGGAAAAAGCTCCTCCAACATAAGGAGCTCGAATCCCGTGTTCGAACAGGTTCGATTCCTCCACTCCTATTTTGAATGTACCCAGATTCAATTTCAACTTGCTATCGTCTGATTTTTCTTTCTCTGTCGAATTTGTACTTAGTTCAGTAAAGCTTTGATTGAGTTCAATCTAGGGCTCCTTTTTCCGTTGTACATCATCAGTTTGGGGCATCGGATTATATTTGCGAGTTGTAAATTGTTTAGTTAAATTAAGCAATTCAAGGGTTTTTCTCAATTTTCCCCGTTTTTTTGACGAGAGGAGTGTGTTCATTCGATTGGTGAAGAAGATCTGAAGTTTTGACATATCGCCTTGACTACTCTGAGTTCCAAATAAGCAGATGACTTGAGTGTTAATCACAACATTGATTTTGTGGTCTTGTAGCTAGGGAGAACTTAAGAGCATCTAAAAAGGAATTCAACAAAACTGAAGATGATCTGAAGTCTCTTCAAAGTGTTGGGCAGATAATCGGAGAAGTGCTTCGACCATTGGATAATGAAAGATGTAATCTTTTTGCTCTCTATCTAATAACTCACTTTTAGCTTCTGTGAGATTTAATGCTCGTTTAATGCTTTGTTCTTGTGCAGTCTGTTGTTCTAAACTCTTGCCTGTTTTGTGTTTCAGTGATTGTCAAAGCGAGCAGCGGTCCTCGGTATGTGGTGGGCTGTCGTAGCAAAGTGGATAAGGAGAAGCTGACCTCGGGAACTAGAGTTGTTCTTGATATGACAACACTAACAATAATGCGAGCCCTTCCCCGAGAAGTAAGTCCGTTTTTGGACATGTGTTGGGTTCTGTAAATACCTTCATAGGTGTATTTCTCTTGACAAGAATGTGGTTTTCGTTTTAATGTTAGGTTGATCCCGTTGTTTACAATATGCTGCACGAAGACCCTGGCAACATTAGCTACTCTGCGGTGGGAGGTTTAGGTGATCAGATCAGAGAGCTCAGGGAATCTATTGAGCTACCTCTCATGAATCCTGAACTTTTCCTCAGAGTAGGGATCAAACCCCCAAAGGTTATTACTGTGCATCTTTAATCGCCCTTAATCCTTTCGTTCTTTTGCTTATTCAGTCTCCATCATGTTGTGTGATTGTCAGTATGAATTAGCTGATTAATCTTGTGGAGATTTAAAATTTTGGTATATCTCAATGCAGGGTGTCCTTCTGTATGGACCTCCGGGTACTGGAAAAACTCTACTAGCTAGGGCTATTGCCAGCAACATCGATGCCAACTTCTTAAAGGTTTAATTTTGAGCTATGCTTATTTTGAAAATTTTAAGCAATGGCATATCCTGTCTTGAGGTTTAATCGAGTCTATTTCTTCTTGTCAGGTTGTATCTAGTGCAATCATAGACAAGTACATTGGAGAAAGTGCTAGGCTGATTCGGGAGATGTTTAACTATGCCCGTGACCACCAGGTAAAGTCTTGCCTTTGATGGGTGTATATATGCTTCTTCCTCTTTTCTTTTCTATAAGCTTTTCGTGTATCACGTTCGTGAGTTTGTTATTTACTTTTGCCTTTGTTTAGCCTTGTATCATATTCATGGATGAAATCGATGCTATTGGTGGGCGTCGTTTTAGTGAAGGAACTAGTGCTGATCGTGAAATCCAAAGGACACTGATGGAGTTACTCAATCAGCTTGATGGGTTTGACAACCTCGGAAAGGTACTACTCTCTATTTCTGAAATTATATCTAAGATCAAATCTGGTGTAGATGTGCATTAGGTTGTGTTGTGAAGTTATATGTTGGGTCATTTGAGATCTATTGGACACTTGAAAGCCATCATCAATGCTATATAATGTCTGTGAGCGTAAATGAATGTGTTTTAACTTGTTTTGGAAGAATGTATTAGGTGAAAATGATAATGGCCACGAACAGACCCGATGTGCTTGATCCTGCTCTTCTCCGTCCTGGTAGATTAGATAGAAAGATTGAGATTCCATTGCCAAATGAGCAATCAAGAATGGATATCCTCAAGATCCATGCAGCTGGTATCGCCAAACATGGTGAAATTGACTACGAGGCTATTGTCAAACTTGCAGAGGTTGGTTTCTTCTATCTCTTTCTTACAATGCTGAGTTAGTGACAGGTTGCTTTCGCTAATTTAAACGTTTCTTTGGTCCAAAAAAGGGTTTCAATGGTGCTGATCTGCGTAACATATGCACGGAAGCTGGAATGTTTGCTATCCGAGCAGAGCGAGACTATGTGATCCATGAAGATTTCATGAAGGTATGTGTTTATTGTATATGAGATTTGTGCTTAAATCATGTTGTGTAATCTTGGTTGTGATATCAAAATGAAACAATGTTATCAGGCGGTGAGAAAGCTGAGCGAGGCCAAGAAACTAGAGTCTAGCTCACACTATAACGCTGATTTTGGAAAAGAGTGAAGAGAAATACACTCTCTTCTTGTGCTGTAGGGATGAAGAAAGGACAACGCAATGGCAGTTTCGTATTGTTATTTGTTTTTTTTTATTTATATTTTGGGCAATGTGAAACTTCTTTGTTTTACTTTAATGAGGAGCAAAGATTGTGGAGTGTGTGCTTACGTTTTAGTAATTTAACGCTTCAAGCATTTGCCTCGTTTCTCGTTGGTACTGTGCCTAAGTGACACTGACACTTATTCTTGCATTTGGTCTTAGTGAAACACCGATTGGTCCAAACCAAAAAGAGTTACAAAGTTACAATAAAGTTCACCACTTGCAATTAGAGAAAGGCCAATTCATGTACAAAACTAAATACTACTATCCTCAAAGTATGAAACTAAATTTGTCTGCTTTAGTTGTTTAACAAATTTATAGGCTGTAGGCGTGAGCATAATACCCAGATAAAAAAAACCAAACCGAAACCGATCCTCAAAATACTCCGATCGGATTTTGTATTTAAATACTTCGGTTTTAGATTCAGATCATATATGTAACCCGATAATCAAACGAATATCCAAAAATATCTGAAAAACCAAAATATTTACTCTAGTCTCTCTACTCTCTCTAGCTTGTTTCGAATCTTTGGATGTTTGTTCTTTTTGGGCGGCAAATGTGATTCTTTCCCGCCCCATTTAGAGCTTTTCTATGCCTTACAGTGTTAGTGTGAAAATTTTTTTTTTGTCCCTCTCTCTGTCACATTCTTTGAGTCGGCTTCAATGGCGACGGAGTACGAGCTCAAAAGACTGGAGAACATTAGACGGAACGATGAGATGATGGCGGCTCTCAAAGTCCATGCTAAAGCGTCTCTTCTCTCCGCCGCAACAAAACCATACAAGAAGAAGAATCAGCAGAAGAAGAAGAAAGAACCTGAAGCTCCCATCGTCACACGTCAGTCTCTGCGCACCAGAGGCTTAACCCCAGATTCCGATGGCTTACCCGATGGTTTCTCAGATTGTCCGAAAGGTACCGTTATTCCCAGTTACGTATCGCTTCGTGTATTGGCTCCTCTGCCTTTAGATGATTCCCATACGCAATTCGTCGACACCATTTCGGGTATTGCGAGAAAGCCGAAATTTGATGATTCAATTGTTAAGAATGAGGATGGTGATGATGATTCTCCTATGGGAAGATTTGATCTTAGATCCTTGTGTTTAGAGCCGGAAAACGTAAGACGTGTACACCCTGAGAGGATTATTGTTGTAAAGTTCTTACCTTGCGATGATGTTAAGCTGATTGCTGCTGGAGACAAAGATGGGAATGTTGGGTTTTAGAATTTGGGTCAAGAGGATGATGACGGGATCTCTCTGTTTCAGCCTCACACTGCTATAGTTACATCTAGTTTCAACAAAACTCTTTCTCAAAGGTAAAGTTTTTCTTCCTTTTGTTGCTCAAAGTTAAAGTTTTTTTGTTAAGTTTGGGAATTTGGATCAAGAGGATGATGGTAAACCTAGTTTCGTTTTCTTTTGTTTCAGCAAAACTCTTTCTCAAATGTAAAGTTTTTCTTTCTTTTTTTCTCAATGATAAAGTTTTTCTTTTTGGGTTTTAAAATATGGTTCATGAAGCTAATGGGATCTCTCTATTTCAGCCTCACACTAGTTTGATCTCTTTCAACAAAACTCTTTCCCAAATGTAAAGTTTTCTTTCTTTTTTCTCAATGGTGAAGTTTTTCTTTTTGGGTTTTTGGAAATTTGGATCAAGAGTTATCTCTGTTCCAGCCTCACACTGCTTTAGTTTCATCTCTTGTATTTCAACAAATCTCTTTCTCAAAGCTGAAGTTTTGATTTTTCTTGATTAAAGGAGTCGTCTTTATTAAAAGTCAAGCTCTTTGGTTCATGTCAGGTTATTAGCAGCAGCTACGATGGTCTAATAAGGTTGATGGATGTTGAAAAGATGGTTTTTGATCTGGTTTATTCGAGGGACGAGCACGAGCGTATATTTTGCCTCTCGCAGAGACCAAACGATGAGCAAAGCTTGTACTTTGGTGAAGGAGAAGGAATGTTGAATGTATGAGACCTTCGAGCAGGAAAGTCATCTTTTGCCAATGGGATTTACATAAATACAGGATATACACCATTGACTTTAACCCTCGAAATCCAAATGTTATGGCTACAAGTTCTCAAGATGGTACTGCTTGTCTTTGGGACATGAGATTCATGGGAGGAAACAAGAAACCAAATAGATTGGCTACTGTTAATCATGCTAAGTCTGTGCACTCCACTTATTTCTCACCTTCTGGCCTTTCACTTGCAACTACAAGGCATCTTGTTTTTTTTCTTGATTCACTTAAATCATTCAAGAAAACTCATTGATCGGATGCCTTGATTGTTTTGAGACAGCATATGTTACTACTTTAGTCTCTGAAAAGGTTACAACTTTAGGGTTTTGTTTTTTCCTTTGTAGCCGTGACAACTATGTTGGTATTCTAAGTGGAGCGAATTTTGAGGATAGTTCCATGATATATCACAATAATAACACCGATAGATATATCTCTAGTTTCAGGTATGGTCCAAGCATCTTGTAGTACCCATATATATAAGCTCTCTGAGTATTCACTTTTAATGAGAAATGAAAAGTAGGATGAGCTGTGTTTGATTGCAGGGGAGTATGGGGATGGGATGATTCATTCATCTTTGTGGGAAATCTGTCGAAAGGAATCGGGAATAATCAGTGATATATCATGGTTTTTATGGTTTTTAACCATGATATAAGTTCTTTTTATTGAGTTTTTTTAGTCTTTTTAGAGTCTTAGTAGAGTCTTTGCAGGTTATAGCATGTCTGGAGCATAATTGGAGATTTTGGAACCTTTTGGAGCATTCTGAGTTGAAGCCACGAAGTACCAAACTCGAAGCAGAAAGTATCACATATGGTGACGCTCGTCACCACCTTTGGTGACGCTCGTCACCCATCAAGGAAGGAGCATGGCTGTTTTATTAAAAGTATGAAGAAGATTTGCAGAATTGGCCCAGAAGTTCCTTTATTTACATGAAGACCCCAGATCGTGTTTAGCCTCTATTTATTAGGTTTTTCAGCCATTGTTGGCTATTATCTTATTTTTTGAAAATTCAGAAAGCTTAGAGAGAGATTTATTCAGAGCTTTTTGGGGAGACAAATCCTGTACTCTTTTGAGAAGATTTCGAACCCCCTTTATTTCTTACTCTTTCTCTTAATGCAATTTTATTCAGTTATGTTTTGTGATCTCATAATCATGTCTGAGTAATCTGCAAGTTAAGTTAGGGTTTTTCAAAGGTTGATGAAAAGATTGTAGAATCGCTATCTGTTAGGAATATCTTATGGTTTTTCATATCTGCTTGCTTTAAAATCGAATTTCTGAGACACATCATCTAGGAACCCGAAAATCTTAGGTTGTTAAATATATGTGAGATCATTATTCATAACCTGAACTAGTATTTGATGAGCAAAACAACTTAGTGCAAAGAGATTTGGTTTAGGAGTTTTGTAAACAATTGAATTTGATCATTCCTGCATGTTTAGGTTGTTAGAGTTTGCAAAGAGATTTGAAACTCTGTGATTTAGGCATAGATAACTTTTGCAATGAGAATTGATTAGTTATACATCAGTGATTCATGTTTAAAACGGTTCTTAATCATTCCTGATTTCCTGCTTCATACATTCTTGGATTCAACCTGCGAACTACCTTGACTTAGCGCTTTTAGTCTTCTGGAACTTAGATTATCTTACAAAATTGTTTGCTTACTTTTATTCATTCATTCGCATTACATACATCATATCTTGCTTAGCTTAATCCGAATCTACATTCGATAGTGTAGTCTGCATTACTCTTTTGGGATTTTGATACCCCTTGTACTACAACTGCTTTTGCTGTGCACTTGCAGTAGTTTTATTTGGGTAAAACCTGAGCCCTATCAAGTTTTTGGCGCCGTTGCCGGGGAGTAATAGCTGCCTATCGATTTTTAGTATTAGGATTTTGTCTAAGTTTTTATTTGTTTACTGACTTTCAGCTACTTTTCTTTGTTCCTGTTTCAGGTGTATGCCTAATCGCAGAACCAAAAGCAACAAAGAGAAGGAGCTTGTAACTTTGAGCATCGACGAGCTTGCTAGGTTGGAGAGAACTAACAGGAAAGCTAAGAAGCAATCTACAATGGTCGCTCCACTTATCTTGGTTGAAGATGCAGAAGGTCACTTAGTTGACAAGGAAGGAAATAGGAGGAACGAAGAGGGGCAGAGAATTGATCAAGAGGGGAATGTCATTGTTGAACAGCAGGTTCAGCAAGTGGCTGAGAACAGCAGGTTGAAGCTGCTGGGCGTTTTGTTCAGAGGACTCTAGGTGACTACAACAGACCTGATCAGTTCTATGCCAACAGAGCTGCAATCCGACCTCCTACCTTCCAGAGGAACCAATTTGAGGTTAAACCAGTCTACTATCAGCTGGTTGGCCAGCATCCATTCCATGGTTTACCTCATGAGCATCCTATGGATCACATAGAGAGATTTGAGGACTTGGCTTCCAGTGTCAAAGCTAACGGGGTTAGCAATGACTTTCTGTTCTGCCAGCTTTTTCCTTACTCTCTTGAAGGAGAAGCTGCATATTGGCTGAAGCAACTGGAACCTGCTTCATTGACCACTTGGGAAGACACCAAGAATGCCTTTTTAAACAACTTCTATGATGATACAAGATCAGAGGACATGAGGACGAAAATTGCATCATTTACACAAGGCCCTACTGAAGCTTTCAAGGCCTCTTGGATCAGGTTCAAGTCTTATCAAAGAGACTGTCCTCATCATGGTTTCAGTCAGGTGCAATTACTTGGGATTTTCTTCAGAGGCATTGACTGGAAATATCAGATGGCGCTGGATGCAGCAAGTGCAGGAAACTTCAACACCAACAGACCAGAAGAGGCGATCAGACTGATTGAGAACTTGGTCTGCAGCAACAGCACTAAAAATGCAGACTTTCAGAGGATGAAACAAGCTGGTGTAGCTGATGGAAATCAGATTGCTGAAGTTAAGGCTAAGTTGGATGATATGCACAGCCTTTTGGTGGGGAAGAAGTCGGTTCACTTCGCTGCAGAAGTGGAAACTTTCGAAGCTCCAGAGGAAGTTGAGCAGAAGGATGTAAATTTCATCAATTCTGGTGGTTTTCAGGGACAAAGGTATGGGAATCAACAGTGGAACAGAGGATACAACAACAATAATCAGAAGAACGCCCTTACAGGAGGACAGAGCACGCCTGGTTTCACTCCTAGACCCCCATTCCAGAAGACAGAGTATCAGAAACCATTCCAGAACAGTGGAAATTACAGAAACTATGGTTCTTCTTCCTATCAACCAGCACCTCCACAAGGAAATAAAATGGAAGCAATGTTAGAACAGATCTTGGAAGGACAACAAAAGCTTACAGTGGACTTTAATGGCAAGATGGATTCGCTCTATCAGGATTTAAATAGAAAAATTGAGAGTCTGAACTCTCATATGAAGAAGCTTGATGTTCAAGTTGCCCAAACTGCAGGAGCTGTTCAGAGGCAAGAAGGATTTCTTCCAGGAAGAACTGATGCTAATCCCAAACACCATGTGAATGCCATCACATTGAGGAGTGGAAAGAACCTGCAACCAGTGTTGCAGAAGGATTTAACATCAAGGAATTTCGTGGGTATGGAAGAGTATGAAGATGAATAAATATTTGCTGAAGAACCACGGGTGACGCTCGTCACCAATAATGGGTGACGCTCGTCACCCATCGAACAGAACCCCGACCCCGACTCTTCACAAATTGGTGACGACCGTCACCAGATGGGTGACGCTCGTCACCCATATCCAGTGATCAATCCCGACTCGTCCAAATTGGGTGACGCTAGCCACCATTCCAGTGACGCTCGTCACCAGACACCACATGCTGCAGTTTCGCCTAAGACTTCAGATAATGCTAAGGAGACCGTGTATAAACCCAAGATACCCTATCCTAAGCATCCTAAGAAGTCTAAGCAAGAGCTTGAAGATGCAAGATGCAAGGCTATCATGGACAAGTTGGTAATAGAGATCCCATTAATAGATGCTGTAAGGATCACTCCTGTTATAAGGAGGTATGTGAAGAGGATGGTGACCAATAACTTGAGTCTTGAGGTTGGAGCTATGATGATCAACGAGCAGGTCAGTGCAGTGATTCATAACAGAGTTCCAGAGAAGCTTTCAGACCCAGGAAGCTTTGTTTTAGACTGCACTATCTTCAATGACAAGTTTGAGAGGTCATTGTGTGATCTTGGTTCTAGTGTGAACCTCATGCCTCATTCTGTTGCCAAGAGTTTGGGGATGACCGATTTTAAGGCTACAAGGATATTTCTTGTCCTAGCTGATAGATCAGTCAGAGTTCCTGAAGGAGTGATAGAGGATGTTCCTATCAAAATAGGAGATTGTATGATCCCTACTGATTTTGTGGTTCTAGAGTATGGAGAAGAGCCCAAAGACCCCTTGATTCTTGGAAGACCCTTCTTAGCTACTGCAGGAGCTATTATTGACGTCAGGAAGGGTAGAATAGAGCTGAATGTTGGCGATTTAGTGATGAAATTCGAAATGGACAAGCTGATGAAGAGGCCAACTATAGATGGACAGACTTTTTATGTGGATGTTCTCACAAACATTGCTGATCAGATCTTCCATGAGATGAGTTCAGAGGATCCCTTGGAAAGGGCATTGACCACTTCTACAGCTGAGTATGAGCATTTAGATGCTGCTGCAACAGGCTACACAAAGATGATGGATGCTACTGCACAAGTGATGCAACTGGTTGCACATGATGAGTTTGTCTCCACATCTGCGAAAGCTGCCACAATGGGTGATTGGTCTGCAGCAAAAGCACCAAAAGTTGAGCTTAAATAGCTCCCTGCAGGGCTAAGATACGCATTTCTGGGAGAAAACTCCACCTATCCTGTTATTGTTAATGCTTCATTGAACAATGCAGAGCTCACCCTTTTGCTAAGTAAGCTGCAAAAATTTTGCAAAGCTCTTGGCTATTCTCTTGATGACATTTCAGGTATCTCCCCAGACTTGTGCATGCATAGGATACACTTGGAGGATGAGTCGAAATCATCAGTTGAGCACCAGAGGAGGCTGAATCCGAATTTGCAGGATGTGGTCCAGAAAGAGATCATGAAGTTGTTGCAGGCTGGTATCATCTATCCTATATCAGACAGTGCTTGGGTGAGTCCAGTGCACGTGATGCCTAAGAAAGGAGGTGTCACAGTGGTAAATAATGACAAGGATGAGCTGATTCCAACCAGGACTGTGACAGGACACAGGATGTGCATAGACTACAGGAAACTGAATGCAGTAACAAGGAAGGATCATTTTCCTCTGTCTTTCATTGATCAGATGCTAGAGAGGCTGGCGAATCACAAGTATTACTGCTTCCTTGATGGGTATTCATGCTTCTTTCAGATCCCCATCCATCCAGATGATCAGGAGAAGACCACTTTTACTTGTCCCTATGGCACTTTTGCATATCGCAGAATGCCTTTTGGGCTGTG